AAAAAAAAAATATATATATATATATAAATATATTAAAATTATAAAAATATATATTTATTTATTAATAAAAAATATTTTAAATTGCAATAATAACTCACAATATTACTGGTTTTGTTACATTATTTTTGATCAAGTAAATACAGCCTTGATGTGCATAAGAGACTTATTTCAAAAACATTAAAAAAAAATCTTACTGACCCCAAACTTTTGAACGTTAAGTCTTCTAAAGTCATATGTAAACTTTGTGTGAGGAAAAAATTAGAAATTTATGTTGTGCTTTACTTATAATATAATGAGGAGACTGTTTAGCCCTTGTTTGTGCCCAAAATTCAATATCAAAATGTGTTTAACAAATAACAAATGTACTAACTAATGCCGTTTTAAAGTCGATTATGTTATTCATTTTGACAAAGGGAATAATTTACAATGAATAATGACTTTGTCTGTTCCTTACACAAATCTACTTGTCTTCAGAAGGCCTGAAATAGAAATAATATATAAAAAAAAAAAAACATAAAAAAACATCCAGGTTTATAACAATATGAGGGTGAGTAAATAATAACAGAATTGCCATTACTGTGTGAACAACTCCTTTAAAATAGCAACAGAGAAACACTCCAGCATAACAATTCATTCCCGTTTCAAACACACAGTGCATGTGCATATGAAACCACCAGCCCCACACCCAATGGAAGGACTGATATCAAAGAAATATTAAAACTTATGCGATTCTGAAGGAGGATGGGTGCATTTGAGCATGCATTATCTTCACTCAAACTGTGAAGCTCATGCATTCACAGACTGTTTGACGTCTGCATAAAACAAGCCTTGTGTTTCAAATAGTGGAACGCAAGACACCGAGCCAGGCACATCTAGAGTTCAGCCTTCATCATGAACACGTCTCGGATAATCTGTTTAAAATATTTCAGATTAATAATTGTCACTACAAACACAGTTCTCAAAGAGATTGCTATTGGATCGCCGAATGAAAGAAATAATGATTAATAAAACAAGAAACGCATTTAATTCTGGCCTCAAGATAAGTGTCTTTCAACTAAACCGGATTGTTTACCATCATCTTACTGTGTAATCTTTTGTTCGCTCGATCTCAATACAACTTCATTTAAATTTTCACAGCAAAGCCATTGTTTCTAAAGTGCTACATGTGTACTAGCTACTCATTAAGCACCACATGAAACAGGAACACATCAGTGGCATTGATGTGTGAACAACACTGGTTTTGTTGTTATTGTTTAGCACATACGTGTGGTGGTTACTTTAGCTTGCTGCACGTCCAGAGCTCAGGCTGGTTTGGTGCTGGCTTTCAGACCAAAGAAAAAATGCACAAATTACAAGGAAACAGTGTCAGAGGCTACCGTCATTCTGCCACTATGTATGCAGTAAATCCTGGTGGTGGTTTGAAATACCTGTATTCACAGAAGGTATCATCATTTATGCCCTGGGACTCCAAGTCGGGGTGCAGGTCCTCTTTCTCTTTCACTGAATGAACAAAAGAGAGCCTTCTAAATTTAGAGAGACTGTGTGTGTGTGTGTGTGTGTGTGTGTGTGTATGTACCTGGTATTTATCACGTTATGGGGACCAAATGTCCCCACAAGGATAGTAATACTAGTAAATTTTGACCTTGTGGAGACATTTTTGAGGTCCCCATGAGGAAACAAGCTTATAAATCATACAGAATTAGTTTTTTTGAGAAAGTAAAAATGCACAAAGTTTCCTGTAAGGGGTAGGTTTAGGGGTAGGGTTGGTGTAGGGCAATAGCACATACAGTTTGTACAGTATAAAAACCATTACGCCTATGGAATGTCCCCATAAAACATGGAAACACAACATGTGTGTGTGTGTGTGTGTGTGTGTGCGTG